TGACATCGATTGCACGACATGTAGAATGAGAGAGAGAGAGAGAGCGAGAGGGAGAGAGAGAGAAAGAGACGGTGTTGCGCTGCTCTGGCCGGCTGTTCCCTTTTGGTTGGGTGTATACTGTAGTTCTGGGGTGTATTGTAAAGACGCGAGACACTGTGAGGCGGAGGGGTGCGGCGATACCAAAACAAGATGTACGTCTACAACTACACCATGTTGCATGTAAAGATCGGGTGTGTATCGCTACGTTGATCACTGTCTGTGTCTGTGCAGAAACAGTGATTGGAATGGGATGGCTGCGTCCGTGTTTGTGGCGTAATTAACTCCACCATTTGAGGGGGCGTAGAAATCTATGAACATGCAAATCCGTGCCCTGATTTTCATCTCAACCAAATGACGAATTCCGTCACCCGGGCGATCGTCGCTTCGTCAGTGATCGTTGTAACGCATTTCTCGCTTGCCCCGAGTCTAGGTTGTATGTGCTCTACCCCAATGTCCGACCTATTTCGACTTGGTCCGGTGTGCATGGGGCGTGGCTGGGGTGATGCACAGACATGAGAAGAAAAACCTCTCCATTCCTCCTCACTCATGAGAAACCGACGTTCCTTGTGTCATGTGGATCGGAGCTATGCTACAAGCCGCTGACGGGACAGCGCAACCGCACGTCCGTTCTGCAACCACGGCTATGCGTACGGCAAGGCCAACGGTCCGAAACAGTTTTCGAGATTCGTGGTTGTGGTACATCCAATACACATCCGGTCGAATATTGTGCTTAACTCCCGTCCAAAGGATTGAAAATATGAAAATATGTCGACGATCCCCCGTCTCTCTTGGTGAAGATTGCGCGAAGGAGCTAGGAGTAATTTGCCATCATGTAGCTGAAAATAACTGGGTACCCACCTCCCTACCTCCTGACCCAGGAAACTGTTTCGCATGTTGCTTCTTGCATTGTTGCAGGAGGATGGGATCGTAATGTCAAAAAATTGTCGGCTCTGAACGGCACGGTGCATCAAAGGTAGCCTGTACTAGAGTCAAGGCAAAAACCACGCGTTGACAACGGGAAATATATCGTTCACGACGCTCTAGACGTCGAGACGATCGAAATACGATACTTTGCTCAACAACACGGCCTCTTTGACAAACCGATAAGACCTCACTTCCGTGAGAATTTCGACGTTTAAAGCTTGAAACCGAGTCAAGGGACAAAAATGTGGAAGGCACCATAAATACGTCCGAAAAAACAAAAAACAAAACAGACCAACAACGCAAGAGGTAGCCTGTACTAGAGTCAAGGCAAAAACCAGGCGTTGACAACGGGAAATATATTGTTCACGACGCTCTAGACGTCGAGACGATCGAAATACGATACTTGGCTCAACAACACGGCCTCTTTGACAAACCGACAAGACCTCACTTCCGTGAGAATTTCGGCGTTTAAAGCTTGAAACCGAGTGAAGGGACAAAAATGTGGAAGGCACCATAAAGACGTCCGAAAAGATAAAAAAAAAACAGACCAACAACGCAAGAGGCACGCTAAACAATGACAGATCGAAAGGAAACGAAGAAACAACCTACCAAAATTGTGTCGTGTCCTACAAGATGCAGTGCAATGTATCCCCAAGCACATGCCAACCGTAGCACGAAATCAAACCAGGAGATCGTCGTGCAATACTCCTATCCGCCCCCCTCCGACAGTAGTCACCGCCGATCCCTCCATTTCGGATTGTGGATCGTATTTCGTACGTTTCCACCGTCAGGGCTGCAACAAAAACATGCTCTGACGAGCACCTGCCAAGTCTGTGAGCGCCAAGTCTCGGTGAGCGCCAAGTCTCGGTGAGCGCCAAGTCTCTGAGCACAGAAAAACACGCATGCCCAAAAAATGAAACCATTCCATCAAGAACAACCCCCGGTGGCTGTCCTCCGAAAACAATGCCCCCCCTTCAGTATCCACAAGAATATATCGCGGGAATTTTTTCGATCCAGGATACGGTCGCTGGTGCTGAACAAAATTTGCTGGGCCAAGACCGGACCCTATACCCCTCGTGCGCCGGTGATTCTACGTCGACAATACGCGGGTAATGTGACTTGTGTCGGAGGGTTGTGCGAGTGTAGCAACCGCGATAGACAAAAAAACATGTTTCACAAGTTTCAGACTAACCATTCTGGAACATTGTCTCAGATACGTCTACAAAAAACGGGAACGAAGAGAGAGAAAAACAAAAAATGCCGAAAACCATGATTTTACGTGCGGCCATATTAACCGCCGTCTTTACCGGAAAAAATAGCGTCATGCGAGGTGGGGCGGACGATTCGATTGGGCCAAATGGACCGAGAGGGCGTACGTCTTGCCTTCCGCAGCCCTAAGTTGCTCGGTCATCTCGGCGATAGCCTGTTATTGGGGTCGCGAAAGAGGGGGACCGGTGGGAGGGTGCTCGTCATGGTGCATGTAGCCGCTGGAGTTAGGCTGCGCACCCTCACGTCCCCCTAATTTGCCGGGAGCTTGCGGGATGCCCGGGTTCTATCGACCAGCTCATACTCGAAACAACGCGCGCACATACGCATGGTGCATTTTTCGATTCTTGGCCCCCCTCCAGGGACCTTGATCTTGCACGCCGGCACCGACGTCTTTTCATTGGTCAGCCGGTTAGCGCTTGCGCGCGCGGTTGATGATAAACACGTGCAGTTATATTCTGTTGCTACCGTTTCTCGTCTTTAATCCGGAGAGTAGCTCATCCTCCCCCATCACGGCCCCTCCTTTAGAAACATTTTTGTGTTTTCAACCGCACTGAGACTGACGCATTTTTCATTGGTCAGCCGGTTAGCGCGGTCCATGCTGAAGACACACACAACGGAGGTTCGTCAGTTCCGTCTAATTTCCACCGTTGCTCCCCTTTCGGGAGGCCGAGCGGACTACCGCTGTGCGTTTTTTGGCCGGCTACATGTAGGAGCAACCTCTTCCGCTAGAGAGGTCGGTGACAAATCAAGGGAGGGGGCGCGTGTTGCGCGCGCACGCACGCACCTGCTCAGCCCTCATGAGAGCCGCCTTCGTTTCCGTCTCCAGGTTCGCCATGGAGGCCTCCAACGATGTGTTCTTATCACGCCAGCCCCTCACCTCCTGCTCTATTGCATGTCGGACCTGACACAAGCAGCAGCAGCAGCAGCAGCAGCAGCAGCAGTTTGGAGCACACGCGGTTATGAAGGGGGCAAAGCACTCCGTGACACAGAAAAATGTGGAAGCGGATTACCTCAGCCGCAGACAACGGACATGGGGGATGGAAACAACACCTCGCTGGGCTGCCTCACCAAGTATCGATGGCAACAACCCCCCAGTCCAACATAGGATGGGTGGCCCGTAGGTCTGACGTGTTTCACGACCCACACACTGCTAGCGTTGCATTAAACAACGGCTCCGCAGGTTTAATCACTTCTGCAGACTTTGATGTTAGGGCACGGAGTGATGACGTTGTAGAGGGGACGTGCCGACCTCAAGCTAACGAGGAACAAAGTCACTAGGAAACCCGAAGCCTCGGCCTGCTCCCCCAGACGACCACATCCAGCCCTCTAGCCTCGCGCTGCGTAGGCCAACGCCCGCCAATGCCATCCTCACACGAATGTAATCACAGTATGCTTTTGTACCACTGCTTCCGCGTGGACATAACCGGCCGCCGTCCCGCGTCTGGCCTCACCTCCCGCCCCTGGCAAGCGCGAACAGGCCGATCCACAAAAAAACAAACAAAAAAACAGGGAAACCCAATACCCGTCTGCCATTCGTTGCACGCACCATCCGCACGCAACAGACACGTGCGACGGACATCCCCGGACAACTCTCCGTTCCTTGCTTACCTCCCCCTCTGTGTAAAGCCTTCGATCCTCGTCATCAAGCCAGGCGCCGTCCGGTCCCCGCCGCGCCCCCACGCCCCTTCCCGCCAACTGCTGCTGTCTCCCCGCCCCGCAAGAGGAGCAGCATCCGACACCGACACCGCTGCCGTTCCCGGCTGCTGCTGCTGCCGCCGTTGCTGCTGGGTTAGAAAAACCGAGGGGGTTGCCCTGTTCAAGCGACCTCATCCCTCCGTTCTCCAAAAGCAGCGATGCTGGAGGGTGCTGATGTTGATGTTGTTGTTGTTGAAGCTGCTGCTGCTGCTGCTGTGGTTGTTGCTGTTGTTGCTGGCATCGGGTGCTCGAGAAAGGGTTCTGCTGCACAGCAACAACAGCAGCCAGCCGGGTGCGGCGGGGGTGAGGGAGAGGACTACATTACTCCTGGCACGACACGATCAAGTACCCTCATCAAACACCCGTGAACGCGTGGTTTTGTCCCGATCTCCAAGAGCCGGCGTTGGTATCCGCAACCCAGACTGCGCCAGGCGATTGATGAAGAGCACGTTTCCGTGGGCGTGTGCGCGTTTGTTCCCTTTGGACCGGCGGCGCCAACCGGCCGCCCAACCAAAAGGCCCTAGCATTGACGGGACAAAAAAAAAAAATTGCAGATGTAGCACAATGCCCCCTTGATGCACGGGCTCCGCCGACAGGGAACCACTACACTACTCAGCGGTATGTCCTGGGTTGCCTCCCTCTCGTGGTTCGTTTTCGGCATCAAACGCGCTACTCGACTTCCCAATAGAAGAAGACTTCGCGGATGAATGCTTCGTACATCGCGGGGTGTGCTAATCGGGGGGGGGGGGGGGGGGGGGGGGGGGGAAAAAGGGGAAAAAGGTTCCGGCCCGGGACCCCAAAACCCCAAAAAAAAACCCCGGTTTTTAAAAAAAACCACCGGGGGGAGGGCCAACCAAAAACGCCCCCCCTTTAGAGGGAGGGAATTGAAAACCCCAAGGGTTCTCCAAATCCCCAAAACCTGGGCCTAAAATAAAAACCCGGAACCCCCCCCCCCCCTAAAAATTTGGGGGAAAAGTGAACCCTAAAAAAGGGGGAAAAAAAAACCCCCGGGGTGGCCAAAAAAAGGGGGTTTTAAAAGGGGTCCAAAAGGGGGCGGTGTTTCCCGGTTTCCCCCGGGGCCCCCCCCCCCTTTTTTCTTTAGGGGGGGAAAGGGGGGTTTTTTTATT